CATGACCCTCTAGAGCAATACATGGAAACCAGTTACTCAAAGATTGCTACAGCTGCTACTAAAAGCTACACAAGGACCAAGGAAGTAGTGGATTTCATCTTAGCTCAAGAAGTCGATCCATAACGAAAAACTACATTGAAGAACCTCTTAAACCTCCCAACATTATCAAATTAAAAGTGGTTTTGAACGCTATACCAGAGTTAAAGCCGTCAAATTTTCGTGGTCATGCTACAGTGAAGAAGAATACAAAACCAAGGATAAAGTTTAGAAACATGAGGTACGTGCCACCCGAAGATCTAACGTAGACAATTCGGTTACGTCAAGCTAATGACGTTAAAGAAGCGCGGCAACCCAAGCTTTTTTCTTTTTTATTTATTTTACTTTCAAGTTATATGATAGTTTAGTTTATTTTAAAGTTTATTTTAGGAATCATCATCCTTAACTCTTCTCCCTTATGTCCTTGAGTAATTAAGTTGGTTATTAAACGTTTGAGCTAAGTAACACATTTTCCATGTATTCAATATCTAAATTTTAATTTTTCAGGAATATGACATCGCGAAACACTCAAACCAACATTGATAAGGAAAAAATGATAAATCTCAAGTTTGGGGGAGAAGTATGACAAACATCCAACAAATCTAGCATCATAAGTTCCAAAACATCATAGGCAATGCAACAATTTAGGGAAGTCCTCACTTTTCTTTAATTTTACATTGGGGACAATGTTCAATTTAAGTTTGAGGGTGTATTATAAATTATCGAATTGCCTAATATTTATTTTTTATTAATTTATGTGATTTGTGTGCATATTTTAAAAAATAATAAAAATCAAATCAAATAAATAAATAATTATTTTTGTTTTGTATCCTTGTGTGAGTTAAATAACCTTGTCAGCACGGATGTATATTATTGAGGAGATGTGTTAGTTTATGGATCATGGATAGGTTATGTGTTTTATTTAAAATTTTTTTGCTTATTCATGCGAAACGTTAGATGCCTATGCAAGCGAATTGATTGTAGCATTGTACATGAATAGGTTGATTCATGTTTATAGGTTGAAATAGAGAACTTAGATGCTAAATCCAAACCACTAAACATTACCATACCCTTAAACCAAATTTAGGATGTTCGGGTGGTTGAGCTGTTGTAGGGATTCTTAAAGATAAATATGGATTCCATGTATGCTAATTTTTGTGTGGATTGCCTGAGACCAATTGTAACGACCCGACCTTGCTCCGGAATCGTTATCATATCTTACGTACTGTCCGCTTCGGGAGAGCCTAAACCCATCTTACCCCTCACAGCTTTCTGAAAGCGTCCCCCAGGATTCGAACTCAAGACCTCCATCATATGGGAGACTTAAGTTGAATCCTGGTACCAATTCAGGATTCAACTTAAGTCTCCCATATGATGGAGGTCTTGGGTTCGAATCCTGGGGAACGCGTCAAAAGCCGTGAGGGGTAAGATGGGCTTCGGCTCTCCCCGAAGCGGACAGTACGTAAGATATGATAACGGTTCCGGCGCGAGGTTGGGTCGTTACACCAATAAGATGAAAATTTGGTGAAAACCTTAAGTTATGGGTCAAATTTCAAGAATGAGTGTTTTATAAGGGACATTGCACTAATCATTGCATAAATTAAAAAAAACTGTTGTAAAGCTATCTTGAAAGATCCCTATGAGGACAACTTTAACAATCTCATTGTGAAATGTTCATTCGTAGTCTTTCTGACTCGAGTGAGTAAGCCAATAAGGGTTTAAAACCTGATACCGTAAAGTCATTTGACTTGGGAGTCATCGGCCTAAAGCTCGTTTTATATATATCTGGAAAACAAATTGCATGAAGACGCACCATATGCCTTGATTAAGCCTCAAACACTTGTTTTAGAGGATTAGACATTTAATAATGGGTTAGTAACTTAATTGATTCTTGGAGGTTGATGCAATCAAAAATAAGGAGAATCCTCATTTGTTGATATGTGAACTGCAATCAGTAACATCTATCTAGACAAGAAACGGTAAGGAGTAGTGATTTGTAAACCAATCTCAGATTACGCCCTCGGAAAAAGAGTGAAAAGAAATTAAGTTTGGGGGTGCGTGAATCGCACAAGTGGAGTGAGGAAATATTTGACTTTCAAGGTCGGGAATTGGATCAACTTATTGTACAGTGTTGCATTTGATTCTCCACACACACATCCCCGTTGTGCATTGAATAGGTGAGAATTTAGCTTGGAATGGGCATTATAACTTTGAAGTGATTCATGAAATTGATGTTATGTTTTCAATCCTGAGCTATGAAGGCAAGATATCTAGCGGAATTTATTTTAAGTGATTT